TAATATTATATTTATTTATATGTAAGTTTGTATGTAATATTGTCTGTATGATACCAGATCAAGCACTTGGCTTTAAATAAAATAGTACACTACACTGAATTATGTTATGTAATAAGAGAAATATTTTATTAATTATTGTAAATGAAATATTATTTATCCTTAATGCTTTAATTGAATGTTTAATCAAGTAATTAAAATAGTTCCGCTTATAATATGACTAAACATCCATATATATATATATATATTGTTGTAAAATTCGTATTTGTGTCACAAAATAAACCTTAAGCTTTTAAACGCAACATTAATTATATACATATATCAAATAGATATATATATTAATTTTTTTTAAATTGCGCTTGTCAGAGACGACCTTCTCAATATGGCAGACACAATCGTCAACCATGCCGACGAATTACTTCCGACATTCCAACCAATTGCAGGCGTTCTGCGCCCTACGTAATTTTACCGGGAAAACGGATGTAGCTCGTGTCCGGTGGAAACTGACGTTCAACTCAGTGAAGTGGCGGGAGATTTATGAAGCACATACATGGAGTATTAGAGCTCGAGCTGGATTAAAAGGTGAAAGATTATACATTTTTAGTGGCTTTGTTCACTTCAGTTTCTGTTTCTTTCCACTTTTTTATGACGCTGCATGAATTTGGCGCCTCACTTTCATATTTTCATCGTGCTAACATGTTGTGCTAAGTTGCTTGTTTGTCCAGTTTGCCTAGTGTCATGACTCATGTGTAATGCACATTCTCAAAGTGAACGTCGTGAACCTGAATTCTGTTTATACGATCCAAAGATTGCTGCATAACTAATGATTTCGTTTGTTTTGCTGAATTACGAGTCTCATGTAATTACTGTACGAGTCTGCCAAAGTTAATTGTTACTTTCTCTGACGTTACATTACTTTGTTTTTAAACGAAATATTGCTGCTTATTGATTTTCAATAAGGATCGATTCAACCTAAAGACTCGAAATAACTTCAATCAAAAGTAAAAATCAGAAACATTTAACTGAGTTTATAATTCGTAAAATTAATATTAAAGATTACGATTTCCAAATGATTATTGTTTTCTTAAAACTTTAACGTTGTAACTTACTCGGAGCCGCATGAGAAAACAGTAAACGGCTCATTTTAAATGACAACATTACTACTGTTTAACTCCGCCCTTTTATGCAAATATTTGTAGAGCTGCCACGCCCTCAATCTTAATGTTATTTTTTGGTTATTATAGGACGTTGAGCTGAGATGCTTAACCGTCTGACATGTTATATTCACTTTATATCTTTCCATCATGTCCTGTTAATCATAAACTTTGTAGAGCATACTCTGTATTCCAAAAAAAAATCAATTGACAGATCAATTCCTTGTAAGTTTATAAACATTCTGGACGTTTTAAGTGATTTTTAGCGATGAATTTGTATATAGACTATTTCAATGTGGTCATGCCATTGGCCCATGAACATTTCCTGCTTGTTATTAAACTTTCATAACTCTAACAAGAGGCAATTCAATTATAACTTATTGTCAAAACAGCTATCATAACCTTGTTTATCAATATGTGGCTCTTTTTGGATTTTCAGAGGATATAGAAATTAAAAATGTCACACAAGAAATATGTTAGGACCGTTGTTTTTGTTTACATCCCTCAAAATGGTCTATGAAGTGATTATCGTTATTATTGTTATGATTATTGTTATTGCAGAGCTGCTTAAAAATGGATTTTAAAAGGCGCAATGGGGGCCCTGCAATGGGCGGGGCTTCACAGGCCAAAAAAGGCAAGCCTAGCACAGAGTGGGAGGATAGCCCCTCCCAGTTTGAAGAGGAACTTGCATTATTTGATGAAATGGACATGGAGGTGGAGTCAGGGGAGGGGCAAGCTGGTCATGACGTCATCCCAGTAGGTGAGTATGTCTTCTGCCTTGTTTTTAATTTGATTTATAGAGCTCTGGAATGTGTCTTAAGGTTGTTGCTAGATCAAATACAGTTGTGATTGGAAGTTAACAAGAATTATTTATATTATTAATAAATTATAAAGATGTAATAATAATAATAATTATCATTATTACTTATTAATTTGATCTGCTCTGGATCCGCCTCCTTCACATCCGCGGTCTGCTTCTCCAGTTAAACTTCACCGCTGGAGACAAAATGTTATGAAATTCATATTATCAGGTGCTCAGACAGACAAAGAGCATTTGTGGAGGTATATACATATTAGTCCATTTTATTCTGAGTGTTTGTGAGGTGTTTCTAAAAAGATATTACTATAAGACAGTTGGTTTTTGTTGTGATTTTGCTTCTGTTTACATTGAGCGCTCCCGCGTTTGTATTTTGACCGCAACTCGCCATGTCGTAGATGTTACCAAGCTCTATTGCAAATATTTTGTGTATATATTTATGTCTGTGTACATACGCGTAAATACTTTTATATGCAAATATATGAATACTAGTGGTATAACGGATCACAAATCTCACAGTCTGGGTCACACT